TTGGGTTTACATGGTTGTCTTTCTCCAACCTTTTTCTTAAAATCCTTCTGTATCTTTATGTTTAGGTATATTACTTGCTAACAGGATATAGTATGCCCAGATCGGACTTGAATTTTTATTTTCAACTTAAAGATACCAAGGCACCTCAAGAAAACTACAAGTTCACACATGGAATAGGAAAATGTATGAGATAAACCTGGAACCTCCTGTGATAACAGACAGCAAGAAAACTCTCAAAGATTAGTAAGGCTCTGTTCACATATCCCAGGAGAGCCAACAAGAAGGAGCCGATTGCCATGGATCGAAACACAAGTATATTTAAATCCATGCATTCGTAGTTTTTTCTTTTTTTTTTAAAGCTCACGAGTCATTTTGAAAACTGGTCAAAGGTCAAGTATTTATTCTATCTTTCCTTTATTATAAAACTATACTACTGAGTAACCAAATAGTAGATGTAGAGAAATTTCTCTCTATAGAAGTATTCCAGCTAATGAAGAAATGATCAAATTAAAATATCACCATTTTGTTTCCTTTAATGAATTAATGAATCTAGGCATTGAGCACCAAGAGCTGTGAATATCACAAAAAGAAACAAGATAATCATGTACCTGCTGATGGAGGTACTATGAAATAGTTTTGCCAAAAAAAAAATTTATAAAAATTTAACCTGAATCTAATTAACCCCAGATTCAACTATCAATTCACAAGAAACACAGAGGAGAGAGAAACATTATCAATACCAAGAAGTGGATGTAATCAGCAAAGTCCAGACCATGACTAACTCTCTGTAAGATACACAATCCAATTTTTTCAATAAATAAATTACAAAGGGTGAAAAATGAAGAATTATAGTTTAAAAAGACCTATTGACCAATGTCATTGGGTGAACCTAATTTGTTCTTTTGGTTTTTTTTGAGACAGGGTGTTGCTGTGTCATCTGGGCAAGAGTGCATTGGCGTCATCACAGCTCACTGCAACCTCAAACTCCTGGGCTCCCTCCTGAGTAGCTGGGACTACAGGTGCGCAGCCACTACACCTGGTTTTCTATTTTCTATACAGACGGGGTCTCGCTCTTGCTCAGGCTAGTCTTGAATTTCTGGCCTCAAGTGATCCTCCCGCTTCAACCTCCCAAAGTGCTAGGATTACAGGCGTGAGCCATTATGCCCAGCCCAGGTAAACCCAATTTGGATCGTGATGCAAACAAACAGAAAAAATTTGTTGTTTATGAGAAAATTGGAAATTTGAACACTGAACGGAGTTACTGTTAACCTTTTAGGTATGATTATGAATTTTTTCCCAAGCCCTTATTTTTTGGAGATATTCACTAACACAGTTACAAATGACAAGAAAACTAACTAAAAGATATATAAAACTTCTCCACAAAATATTATAAAACATTGAGAAAAATTAAACCTAAATTATATACCTTATTCATGAATTAGAAAATCAGTATTATATGTCAATTCTCCCCAAATTTCTACTTTTTTCCTCTAAAATTTATATGGAAATGCAAAGGGCCAAGGCACGCAAAATGGAACAAGGTAGGAAGACTTGCTCTATGGGATATTAAAACTTATAATGGACACTAGATTTATGACAAATACGACAGTGTGGTGGAGCAAAGATGGTCTTTCAATACATAGTACTGGGATAATTAGACCTCCACCTGGGAAAAAAATGAAATGTGACCCCTACACCTTGGTCACACACAAAAATCAATTCCAGGTTGACAAAACAATGAAGCTTCTAGAAAAGAGGTTCCCAAACTTCCTCGCCAGATAGTAAATGTTTTAGGCTTTAGGGGCCACATATACTGCCTGTTGTATATGCTTTTTATAGCCCTTTAAAAATGTAAAAATCTTTATTTAGGGCAGTCCAAAAACAAGACACAGGGTAGGTATCAACAGATCTACAAGCTGTATTTTGCTGATCTCTGTTCTAGAATGTAAGAGAATATACTTATAACCTATAGCAGAGAAAGATTTCTTACTCTTCATTTAAGAAATGGGACAGAGCAGAGAGTGTCTCAGACGCTGAGTCTCTAATGAGCTTTTCTAGTAGACAACATTTCACACATTTTGTCACAACTTATGACTGGGAAAATTAAGCACATCCTGTGTGACTCCATTGGGAAAGGACTCTTGAAAGCTTGTGCCTGGTTTCTTCTAGACTTTGTCCCATGCGCCTTTTCCCTTTGTGGATTTTGCTTTGTTTCCTTTCACTGTAATAAATTATAGCTGTGAGTATGACTGTATGGTCAGTCCTGTAAGTCCTTCCAGTGAATCATCAAACATGGGGGATGATATGATGGTTGGGGACCCTCCCCACCAGAGTTTGGGTCAGGAGGATTTGTTAGAACAACCCCAACTCACCGAAAGCCCTTTTGGGAGAAGGAAGAAAGGGTGGGGTATGACAAACCTTTGTCTGGTGCATGGGTAGGCTACAAAGTCATCCATGGTATGGAATAGCAGCTGAGCTGCTGTTATTAAGAATGGTAAAAGTTACCCATGGAATTTGAAAATGATAGAGCCAACTCCTGGAGAGATGAATAGCAGGATCCCTGGCTGCTTTTGGCTGTGCTGGCTAATGTGAGGGGAAAAAGGTACAGCCGAGGTAATGCCTTTGGTTTTTGTTTTCTCCTTCAGGTAGGTGGAGAAATGGCCGAAAATCTAAGGTGGGGTTTGGGTGCGACAAAATGTTAAAACTTTACTCAGTTCTCTCTTTCAAGAAGGGAAAAAAAATTAAATGAGTTCCCTAGACTGAAGCAAAGCTTTAAGTAAAACAGAGACCCCAAAAAAGGGAAAAAATACCCCAGCCCTCTGCATTCCAGCCAGGATCTTCCCTAGCAGCTGTAATATTAACCCTGCAAAAGCTGAATTTACTACTAAGGGCTTGAATAAATTTGCAGACTTGAAACAGGTGTGTGGGGTGGGGGGGGCGGAGTTGGACAGACTTGTTTTTAAAATGTCTTTATTATGCTTTGTGGCTATTGCATCCAGATGTACAGCTGACCCTTGAACACAGATTTGAACTGCAAGGGTCCACTCATATGTGGATGTGATTCCACCTTTGCCACCCCTGAAATAGCAAGACGAACCCCTGCTCTTCTTCCTTAGCCTACTCAACATAAAGATGACGAAGATGAAGACCTTTACAATGATCCACTTTCACTTAATGAAGAGTAAATATATTTTCTCTTTCTTATGATTTTCTTGGTAACATTTTCTTTTCTCTAGCTTATTTTATTGTAAGAATACAGTATATAATACACAGAACATAAACAAAATATGTGTTAACTGACTCTGTTATCAGTAAGGCCTCTGGTCAACAGCAGATTAGTAGTAAAGTTTTCGGGGATACAAAATTTGCATGAAAAATTTCAACTGCGCAGAGGGATCAGTGCCCAAACTCTCATGTTATTCAAGGGTCAAGTGTACAATAAAACTGTGAAAAATTAAACGTGGTAGTTTTGAACACATGAGGATAAAAATTATCTATGCCTCAAAAACTTCGTGTTAAAAATTAAACAGCAGCCAGGCATACTGGTGAGTGCCTGTAGTCCCAGCTACTCAGGAGGCTGAGGCAGGAGGCTTGCTTGAGCCCAGGAGTTTTGAGGCCAGCCTGGGCAACATGGTGAGACCCTGTCTCTGACAAGAAAGAAAAAAAAGGAACAGCAAATAATGAAATTGAAAAAAAAACTTCAAACTTGCAATAATGCATACAAATTAAGAAGAGAACAATATTCCTAATAGAAAAAAAAAAAAGAAGAAATAACATTAAGAGGCAATTAACCCCACATCCCCAAGAATACTAAGAACCAGTAAACATTTGGGACAAAAACTAAAACTTTAAATGAGATACATTTTTCATATATAAAATCAGTAAAAGAAGGTCTCAATTAGCAATGAGGGAAATGCACATCCTTACATTCTTACATGATGTTAGAAGTGAAAACGGTATTCCTTTTGGTAGTCACAGACAATATGAATCAGAAGTCTTAAGATGTACATGTAGTTTGAGAGCAAAGGGAACTATTCAGATGTTTATAATAGTGAAAAACTATAAATAAAGTACATGTCAAACTAGAAATATTGGTTAAATGAACTATGGAACATGCTTCCAATGGAATAATTACAACTGTTAAATATGATATATTGTTATTATTTAATAACACTGAAGACATTTATAATATATTCAGTGAAAATAAGTCAAATGTATGCTTCATGAAGGCAGGTACTTTGTGTTTTCTTCATAGCTACACACTCTGCATTAGGAATCATATACTATCAAGTATAAAATAAATATTTACTCTATGACTGAATGAAAAATGTCACAAAATAAGTAAAATGATCCCATCTCTCACACATACAGACACACATACTTCATACAGGTGAGCAGAACGTCTGGCAGAAAGATACACACTAATATGTTAATGGAATTATCTTTAGATAATGGGAACTGTGGGTGATGTTTATTTTATTTCTGGCTCTTATTATCTAAATGTCATGTAGTACATTTCCCAAAAACATACACATTCATTTTTTTCTTAAGCAGATATACAGAGTAGGATGGATGGGGTGGGGGCCAAAAGAGGACTTATGCATTTCATTTTTAAAAGTTCTAAATGTCTCGGGCATTTAACTAGTACATAATAGCGATATGTGGCTCAGACCAATCATAAAACAAGAAGACAGATGCCAAGACTATTACTGCAGTATTCCTGCCAAGTCCCTCACTCACCCTCTCTCTCATTCCTAGCTTCCACTGACACTTCAGCTTGTGGGATTCTAATTACAGAGTGGGGAAAAAAACCAGGAATTTTATTTTCATAATTGTCCCACTAATCATCCTCATTTAAGATTTTAAACATATTCTTGTAAGAGGTTGCAAATTCAGCTTAAAAAACCTATATCCCCCAAAATTCAAATAATGATGATCTCTTAACTAGAAATCTCCAATTATTGTATCATATATTCCAAGTTGCATAAGAAAGATCTTACCCACAAACTCCCAGTATTTTTTATAATCAGCAGGAAATTTTCTTAAATGCAACTGATAGAAATTCTCTTTATTTGGAGAGCTGAGCCATTCCTGAGCCACCTATACGAAGCAAAAACACAAATTAAGAATGCAAAAACATTATGGAAAGCCACGATAAACAGCAAAATTTTCCAAAGCAAGCAACTGTAAAACCAGAGAACTTAGAATCTGAGGTGACAGAAACTAAAATTTAATTTGTGGCAGTTTAATGAAACTGGCTAGAACTCTCCTGCCAATTCAGTAGCCATTAACTACATTTGGTTATTTAAATTTAACTAAAATCTTAAAAATTAAAAATTCCTCAAACTGGCCACCCTTCCAGTGCTCAATAGCCACCTATGGTTACTATACTCCTTGCTGCAGATGTAGAGCATTTCCAGCAGTGTATAAAGTACTGCTGGAATGTACTGGTAGAATGTGACTTCCCAACCAGACCATCTCACAAGTCCAAAAGGACCTAGATTTGTTGCAAACTTTGGGATTTCTCACCAACATGTCATCTGCCAGTTTTTAGAACACTCTATACCCACCTCCCAATTTGCCAAAGTCTCAAACTCAGAAGTACCTGTGAGGATCTTCTGAGAAGTAAAGAGGACTACCTCCAACCCCAAATTTAGAAAGGAGACTACTAGTGTAAGTAAGTCATATTAGGTTTCAATTTTTTAAAAAACTAACAAATTACCTTTTGGGCCCTAAGAAGGGTTTTATCTAAATGTAAGTTGACCCAGTAAGTATTTAAATGAACAATTACAATTGGCCTTCAGTTCCTCTGATGAAATTTATCATCAAAGACAACTGGTGCTGAGCTGCTTCTGCACTACAGTTAACCAATCAAGACTCCACAAGGGTTATGCTATGGAAAAGGGGGGAAGGGGCGGAAAAGAACACTGAATTTGTGTTATCTGCTAATGAGGTCAGATTCTGGTCCACAACAGTTATGATCAATTTTTATTATCCAATTTTATGTCCTAATACCTTAAGATATGGCAAGTCCATAAAATTATCTTCAAAAAATGCATTCTCTATTCACAGCATTATTTACAATTACCCAAAACCTGGAAACAACCCAAAGGTCCATCAACTGGTAAATGGATAAACAAATGTGGTACATCCATACAATGGAATCTCTCATTTGGCAATACTAATACATGGACAAACCTCTAAAATATTATTATTATGATGTGAAAGGAGGCAGATGCAAAAGACCACATACTGTATAGTTCTGTATATATGACATTTCCAGAAAAGGCAAATTTATGGAGACAGAAGGTCGATTAGTGTTTGCCAAGGGGTGGTGGTAGGAATGGGGATTGGCTGCAAATGGGCACAAGGGATTGGTTTAGGTCTACAAAAATATTCTCAAACTGGGTTGTGGTGATGGCTGTACAACTCTGTAAATTTACTAAAATATCATCCATTTGTATACTTTAAAAGGGTAAGTTTTATATTATGGTATATTATACCTCAATAAAGCTCTTAAATGCATCCTAGTGTATACAACAAAGAGCAAAAGAAAAAAAGGATTACATTCTACCTGCAATAAGACATATTAACAGAATAATCAAACACTATATTTCAGGTTCAAAACAAAATACTAACCAAAGTTTTATAAACCGTCTATACCTACTACAGCATTCCATCAACAAAGTGAAAGTTAAATTGCATCAAACAACAACCCTTGGTCCAGGATTGTTGTTGATGCCACAGCCCATAGCTTATTAGAAAGACTAAAAATTAAAATTAAACAAGCTATCTTAATACCACTAATCATTACTGGCCTGTATAAACTAGAAATACTAAACCAATATTGTTTAAATTGTATGCTTAAAAAAAGAAAAAGGTTAAACATCAAGGTAACTTCAAGGCAGACTGACTTAACACATGCACTTCCTTTAGCTCTTTCTGAAACCCCACTAAAACACCAAAGGGATTTTTAAAACCAAGATTAGCTCATTAGGAAAAAAAGAACACACGAGAGGGGAGTATCAAAATTTTGGAAGGTGGAAAGCAGATGAATGAAATGGTAACTACCTCAGCAAGCCCACGAAGCTGAACTTCAACTGGGAAACAATGTATTTTTAGAAGGATGGCTGAAGGGAGATTGATCTCAGCAAAAAACTATAGAGATTTAGTCTCTAGAGAGAATATAGTCTCTGACCTTGGGGACTGCAGGAAAGATGGGGATACCGTATTGACAAGAAAGGAATTAAGTAAATGTTTATAAATGGAGCACCAGGATACCTCTCCTCTGTCTCATACTCTCATCCCAGGCCTCTCCCCACACTCACCTCACAGCTAGCCCTATACTTTCCAGGGAAAATATTTGAAGATTCTTCTTTGGGAACTCTAACATAAAAGGTAAAAAAAAAAAAAAAAAAAAAAAGACTAAAACTATTGACAAAAGGGTAGGGATGGGGCTTCCTAATGAAGTACAAAATATCAATAATATTATAAAAGTAATGTTGGGTTTTACCATGCTACGGCACCTTCAGATCACATTTGACTTCCACAGTGCAATCATAAAGGGGATCATTTTCATAAAACTATTTGAAGGTTTCATCTGTTTTCCTAAGTATCTCTTTTAACTTGTTGCTATTCAAATTTATCTTTTTATACAGAATTTTTAAAAACAGATATATTTCACACAACATAAAATTCACCATTTTAAAGTTCACTTCAGTGATTTCTAGTACTATGGTTTTATTCACTATGTTATGTATCCATCACCACTATCTAATTCCAGAACATTTCCATTATTCCAAAAGAAACCCTATACTTATTAGCAGTTAGTCCTAATTCCCCCCCTCTACCCTGGCATCTCCTGGCAACTATTAATCTGCTTTCTGTGTCTATAAATTTGCCTATTCTGGACAATATATGTGAATGGAATCATGTAATACATGATCTTCCGTACCTGATTTCTTTCACTTAGCATAATTACCTTCCAAAATGTTGTCAAGGTTCATCAATGAACATGTATTAGAACTTCACTCCTTTTTATGGCTGAGTAGTAATTCCGTCATATGGATAGACCATATTTTGTTTATCCATTTATCAGCTGATGGACATTTGGGTCATTATCACTTGTTGGTTACTAAGAATAATGCTCAAAATCTACTTTTTAATCTTCTTTTCTTAAATGTGAGTAGGCCAGGAGAAATCAGCCATATGAAAAAAGGAATTAACAAAAAGGACTACAGACACCAAAATTAACAGGGAACTTTTAGCTGACTTTAAAATTATCATTAATAAACTTTAGCTAATAAAAAATACCATGTCCATGAAATAAGAATAGGATTCTGTAAAAAGGAATATTCAGAACACAAGAGTTCTAGGAAACTAAAAATATACTAAACAAAATTCAACAGATTTGGGAGAAAAGTTGAGAAGATCTCCAAGAAAACAAAGCAAAGTCCGGCCCGGTGGCTTACACCTATAATCCTAGTATTCCAGGAGGCAAGGTGGGAGGATCACTTGAGGTCAGGAGTTTGAGACCAGCCTGAGCAAGAGTGAGACCCTATTTCTACTAAAGATAGAAAAAAATTAATCAGGCATGGTGGGGTGCGCCTTTAGTCCCAGCTACTTGGGAGGCTGAGGCAAGATCACTTGAGCCCAGGAGTTCAAGGTTGAGGTGAGCTATGATCACACTACTGCACTCTAGCTGGCATGACAGAACAGGACCCTGTCTCAAAAAAAAAAAAAAGACTAGAGCAGAAAGAAAATGAAAGATAGAAAAAAAAAAAAAAGAAAATGAGAAAACTGAAGAAATTTTTAAGACATATAAGGTTTCAAAAATTTAACTCTCACATACCCTTTTTCTTAGGAAGCTTGAAGGATGTACCTCACTGAAGTGAGAGAGTGACCAAGAAAGATGACATGGAGTATAGGAGACAGAGACCCAACCCAGGGAAGAAGAAAATGCAAGCCTGAGAATAAGGATGGTAGCTATTTTCAGAAAATTGTCATACACCACACAATGAAGAAATTTATAGATTAAATGATGTGCCTGATCATGAGACATTTAAACATTCAAAAGAGAGTCTGAATTTAGTGATAAGTGTATAGAAAATTAAGTAAACACACAAAATAACAAATCTAGTTGGGAACGAAAGGAAAAGCAGTTATAGCACACTACATAACATAGCTGAGGATACCTTTCACACAATCGAAACAATAAAAAAATCCCACAGTGAGGATGGGGGAACAGGAATGGTGTGTGTGAAGGCTGGGCTGGGAAGAGCAAGTACCTCCTGAAGCAGGAAGCTAATAGAAAATGCCTAAAACTGGAAAATCAAGAAGTCATAATACAGGCATGTTATTTGGAAATATGGAAGGAAATTTCAAAAGAATCAATTAAGAACTGAATTACTGGTTACCTGGGAAGTGAGGGATGCCTGATGTTTTTTATGATGGGTCTTGTAGAAGTATTTGACTATTTTTAAACTTAGTGTATATACATACAGAACTTGTGCTCATTCTGTTTAATAAAAAAAGGCTGGGGCTACAAAAATGTCCAGAAAAGAAAAAATGTGAAAAGGGAATATATAAATATTAATACCTTTTAATTCAAAGAAAAATAAAATCAGAAATGTGTCCACCCTTAAAAGTGCTCTGAACAACTTCTAAGGGATTTAAGTGCTTTCCAGGCAAGAATGAAGCAACTCTAAAACAATGGCTAAAATTGGAGGCATAAGTTGACATAAAAGAATCAACATGAAGTACATTTTAAAGATGCACTGACTCGGGCTTTATAGAAGCCATTTATGTCGCCAAGTGTAGCATTAATAAATTCACTTGCTTATCTTCTTTTGCCACAGACTTGTCCCTTTGTGCAACACACTTCCTTCTCTTCAACACACCAAGCTATGCTGTTACCACAGTGGCACTCCACTCTGCCTGGAATGTACTTCCCAAAGCTGATTCCTTCTCTTCACCTGGGTGTCAGTGTAACACTCACAGAGGCTATCTGTTCTTTCCATCTAAAAGTGCCCTGTTCCCTTTGTTCTAGGTCACACTTGGAGCCTTTATAACAATCTGAAATGGTCACTTCCAGAGGGCAGACACCTCATGTGTCTTGTTTACCACTTTATCTCCCAGGCCTGTAAGAGCACTGAGAACCCAAATATCTATTAAGTGAATTAATTTATGAATATTTACGTCAACACCATTGGTTTTAAGAGTCTTACTACATGTGGGGATTTTTTAAGGAATCTGAAAAAGTAAAACTTTGTTTCTAATCCCTTACCTGCCTTGAAAACACCTTTCAAAATGCACTAAATACTTACACTAAATAATTAATTGTTGTCTTTTTTTTTTCTTTTTGAGACAGAGTCTCACTCTGTCACCCTGGGTAGAGTGCAGTGGCGTCATCCTAGCTCACTCCAACCTCAAACTCCTGGGCTCAAGTGATCCTCCTGCCTCAGCCTTCTGAGTAGCTGGGACTAAAGGTGCGTACCACCACATCTGGCTAATTTTTCTATGAATATTTTTAGTAGTGACAGGGTCTCACTCTTGCTCAGGCTGGTCTCCAACTCCTGAGCTCAAGCAATCCTCCCACCTCAGCCTCCCAGAGTGCTAGGATTACACGCATGAGCCACTGTGCCCAGCCCTATTTGCTGTTTTTCTGACATTCAAATTCAACCAGGAATCTTGTATTATTTGTCAACCCTAGTCAAAGGGGGCAAGGAGGAGAGAAAAACCAGACAAAGATGTGTTGAGGTTGGGAAGACAGTTATGGCGAAGCAGCAGCTGCTCTGATGAGTAGGAAACTGGGAAATCAGACGTATAAAGAGAAATTTAGGATTAATTTGTGTTCAATGTAATTTACCTTTGTCACCTCCTAAAGAAAACTACACTAAAGGTCTATGTTACTTAAAAACAAAACAGATGTTGATGGGAGACTATCTCCTCTGAGAAGTCTTCCCTTACCTGTGCATTGATAAACAATTCTTCCTGTGCTACCTCTGGACTTGGTACATTAGCACCCTGAGTTCCATCTACAAAGCTTCAGGGGACAGAAGTTCAAAGTGTTTCCTCTGTATCGCCAGCATCTAGAACAGTGGCTGGTACAAATGTCTGTTCAGTGTGAAATCTAAAAGCAGTAGCTATATCAAAAAGGTCAATTACTTTAACTGTACTCTATTACTCAGCACGGTAAAGAAATCCAACATGAACAATGTGGAAAGGCATACAACTGAAACATATACTTACCGTTTCAAAAGTATTCAGTATCATCAAAGGGAAAAAGACATGAAAATAATCTTCGCAATCTTGAAATCTGACAGGCACAGGTCTTGAGATGGACTGACAAAGACTTGCAGGGGGCCCACACTGATCGAAGTTCAAAAACATTTCATACTTCCATTTTAAGACCTCTTTAACAAAGGTGTCAGAGATAGACTGTGATGATAACAGAATGTTTACTGGAGAGGAAGTTGAAAAAGATTTGTTCTCACCAAACAGAAGTTTGTAACCTTGCCTGTTAGAATTATCTGGAGTCTGAGGATGAAGAACATTGCACAAACTCTTCATTTCCCCCACTGGCTTCTGAAATATTATAGGAGCTGCCTGTGGTACTTTCAAAATAGATTGTACCCCATTTGGCTTATTTTTTAGAGCTGGTGGAAGTGCTGTAGCATTTTCCAAAGACCTGGAAAGATTAGCAATTCGTGAAGTACTTCTTGAGCTAAAAATCTTCGCAGTGGAAGGTCTTGAAGGTTTAGATGCAGAAAGAGGCAGGCCAGGTTTACGAAACACATCTTCATCTGCTGCTTTAGCTTCAGAGTGCTTTGAGCAGTATTCACTCTGGTTTTTCCTGACTTCAACACAATCTTTGTACTTACACTTTGTGCCACTCAAAGATTCCAACTGAGGCCAACTTAAAGAAACTTCTACCTGAACTGTATCTTTTCCATGAACTACTTCAATGAGTTTAACATTATCATTCTCCACTTGTGAACACAAATCCATATCTTCAGGATCATTTTGTGTTAAAAATAAATTATCGTCCTCTATATCACTGTTGGATTCAGATTCTCCCTCTTTCAAAGTTGCCACCTCTATAGGATGTACTATTGGATCACCTCCAGCTAAAGGGTCCTCTGAAGTGGAGACTATTATTTCATTTGTTGGTATTCCATTTAACACTACAGAATCACACTGGTTCAAAAGACAAGCATCATCAGTTGCCTGAGAAACACATTTTGCTTTTATGGTTTCTGGTTCAGAAGACATGCATTTTTTTAACTGTTTTCCATTACCGTTGGCAAGTACCTTAGTTCCTCCTGTATAATTATAATCTAACTTATCAGATTCTGGTACAAATGTGTCAGAATTCTGTGCTGTATGTGGCACTGCTTTTGTAGCATCCGTACTTCCATAATCAACGAGCCCTTGTCTATTTCGTTGTGATTTGTGTCTTATCTGCCTTTGCATCTGGAGATCTTGACTGGTTAGGAGTTTCTTATTATTTTTGACAGAAAGAGTCTGAGGAGGAATTAATTTAGTTTTTTTTCTGGTATCGACTACTCCAACAGTTTTGCCATGATCACGTAATTGAACTAAAGACTCTAAAGATCGCTGGGACAAGTCAAATGCCTTACGAGGAGCCTTTTTCAGACCAAGTTTCTCAGCTGTTGAGGTTGGTTCAGGACACTGGCGAAATTTCTTTGGTGGCACTATCGCAGGAGATGTTCTACAACGTATGTAATTTGAATTTTTACTCTGCCCTTTTCTGGTATCTGAATGTGCTTTCTTAGGGGTTTTAGAAAGTGGGACTCTCCTAACGGGTTCTGGACAAGTACGAAGCTTTGGAGAAGACTTCCTTGGGGAAACCGTAGTGGCTTTCTGAATACTTGAATTGGAAGTTGTAGTCTTTATGTCTACACTTTTTTTAAAATCATTTTCAGGAATCTCTTTCTCATTAATATGAGACTGGTCCTCACTTCTGGCAGCACATGAAGGGCTCAGAGGATCTTTAGCCACTGTTTTTTTTGTAAATCGTTTTCTCTTAGGTTTTTTCCCTTCAGTTTCATGAAATTCCTCAACAGAAATACTACTCTGTGCTTCTGTGTGTCCTTCAATGCCTTCTTTTTTAATAACCTCTTTAGATGCATAATCTGTATCATCATCATCCCAAATATTTGTGGTATCAGTCATGTGAGTCGAACATGAATTTTTTTCATCTTCTTGAACTGAACTATCTAGTTTATGATCCTGCCAAACTGAAAACACTTCAGATGGACTTTCAAACTCAAAAAACTGAGAATCAGAATCCTCGAACTGCGGAAGAGACTTTGTTTGTTCTTTCTTTATTGGCTTCTTTTCTACATTACTAGTAACTACTGAAACGTGCTGCTCTGGACATTCTTTCTCCACGCATGTTTTGTCCTGTTTCATGTGTTTCTCATCACTCAGAATTCCTTCATCTTCATCATCAGAATCTGAAATAATAATAACCTGTCCACCGCCAGTGTCTCCAACATTATTTTGGTTAGCTGTGAAATACCTTTTTTCATCTTTTACTTTTCTTTGGAGCTGAGATGAGCTTTTTTGAGTTGAATCTGATGGAAACTTAGTAACACTGGCTTGAGCCATTAAAGATAACTTGTGGAGGTCTCTGTCTATCTGAGAATCCGTTAAGGTTTCAGACTTAGGACTGATGCCAGGGGCCTGTCCTATTGTCAAGTTACAAGAAACCAGAGTACTCTTACTCATTTCCTTCTCTCTCAATTCAACTACAGTCATCGGAGCTTTAAAGGGAGACGTTTTCTTCACTAAAGTATCAGTCATTTCTGTAAATGAGACCAAATCTTGATCAAGATGATGTTCCTGTACTTTACAATTGTTTTCAAGGGAAGAGAAAATATCTAACTCTTCATTCTTTACTTGTTTCTTTTTCAGTAATAAGCTATTTTGGGATTTTTGTTCTCCATTTTTATTATCATCTGGAATACCACTAGGGTTTGAAGATAGATTGTGTATAAAGCCATCCCCTTTCTGAACTTCTGTATCTTTCCCTGAATAGAAACTCTCAGTGTTAGATGCAGTCAGGTTTTCCTCTAAATCAACAGCATTACGGACCAAAGTTCTTTTCCCATGTTGCTTCTTTATTACGTGTGATAACTTTGCACAGATTTCATCTTTCTTCTGTGTCTTCGTTTTTGGTTTTGAGGTTTTACCAAGAGCATCATCCTTGAAAGAGAAATCTGCATTTGATGCGGACACTTTTTCCAGAGATTCAGTGCTAGAATCAGTCAAAAAATGTGTTGATGTTATTTCTCTGTCGCTTCCCCTTCCTGGACCATTTCTTGAAGTACAATTCTGTGGGGTATATGAGGAGTTCTCTTTTACAGACTTCTGCTTCCTTGTACTTTTAATTTGATCCTGAGCTTTTTTAATAAAAAGGCTTTTACTACCCTGCTTTAAGCATGACTCAGCTGACCGATGGTCTTCTAATTTCAAATCCTTCATATAATTTTGCTCATTATCCTCTTCTTCTACAGTGTTACTTGCTTTGATTGATATACTTTCTGGTAGTTGATATATGTCAGCTTTCATCAGTTCTTTAGAAAATGTTGGGCTGGAGTTTTCTAGACAATGTATGTCTTTTACAGACTTCTTCCCTATTTGTTCACTTTCTTCTTTATTATAAGATGCAGGAGGGGTTTTACATGTAAGAGTCAGATCCACTAAAGTGCTACATGGAGGTACTTTTGATTTTACATTTCTAATAATTTGCTTTAAACATGTTTGTAACTCATGGGTTTCCTGACTAGTCAACTGCCAACCTAGAGATAAATTTCCCCGAAGGAATAAGTTAAGCTTATCCCAAAATCGCTTACAAATAGTTTGCTGCCCAAGCTGATAACCTTCTTTAAGGAGACTTCTAATCAGTTGCACACATGCAAGCTGTACAGAGTTAGATGGCATTGAATGCAACGACAGTGATGATATCATTGCCGTTCCTTTGGAGCAATTTCCAGATGACTTCTCAGAACTCCGTGCAAATGCTGTGGTAGGAAGCTTGGCACATTTTACGACGACTTCCACCCATTGTTGGGAACTAATCCATAGCAAATGCAAACATTTTTTATTTCTGTGCAGTTCAATCACTGATACCAAAATTAGAAGAAAAAATTCAGTGACTTTGTCACACACAGCATCTGTTTGGTTGAGGACATCTTTGACTTCGGAGTGCAGATGATGAATAACCTCTGCTATGTAAGCCACACCTAAATCCTTAAGATCCATGAGGGACTGAACAAAAGGTATGAACCACAAAAATGTGCTGTTATGAACACGCATGTCTTGACCAATATCTGACTGAAGTACACTGGCTAATGTTTCCATTTCTTCATACATGTTAGGACAATAATCTGGGCAAATGGCTGATCTCCATCCAGAATCCTAAAATGAAAGAAATATTGACATTCAGATAAGTAAGTACCATTCATGATAGCTTTAATACTTAAGTTGTAAAAAAGAAAATATATCTTCCCAACACACCTATTTTGGTTTACTATGTATTATTTTTAATATACATACCACCCAAGAAATTGAAAACATAAGTTGAATTCCACGGTTAAAGTTTCATGAAAAGGCAAATTTACACCACCTTCATGTAATCTGGACTTCCATTAGCTGGTTTTGATTTCTAGTCACGCCACTTATTCTGCCCATTAACTTTTCATCTTCCCTAAGTGCACTTAAAAATTAATTTTCCAAAGTGTACACACTGTAGAGTCCATTTTTCCCCCATGTACAATACATCTGTTAAATCAGAAGGCCTTTATGTAGCAGGTGATTCAAGACAGCTACATATCATATTAACAAAATCAGCAATTCAACTAATTATGTAAAACACTGTCTATATAATATAAAGGCAATAAAATATCACCTGAATTTTCAAAGTGTTTATACCTTTTTGGTCTTTTCAGGATTATAATTGTATACAATCTGGCTGCAAGTCACCATATCATCCAAATATGATTCTGGCTCTAACTTGGTCCTTAAATAGTAAGAATAAATAGAAGTTACTGAAATGAAGGAAAAGAAAGGAAAAAAAATCCCTCTTGTTAAGTCAGTTTACAGCACACTTCCTTACAGACATTATTTTTAAATGCTGACATGAACTGAACTGACCTCACAGAACTGTTCCGTATGTGTTGGATCTCCCGATTGTAGCTCACATTGTTGATAATGGTTTGCAATGCCTCAATGGGGTCAATAAGCTGACCCCAGACCTTGGATCCCAGGCGATCCAGAATCACCATGAAACAATGTAATGCTGGCCAGAAAGGATCCACACTCTCATCTGAAATACAATAGAGTAACTGCAGAATTATAAAACAATTAGAAAAATGTACTAAAATATACTGAGAATTAAGCATTCTTTATCTGGTTAGCAACAAAATTAAAAGCAAAGCAGCAAGTCATTTAAAGTAAAGCACTGCCAATCCTTAAGAGACAAAGGTTTTTAAAAGCTGGAGAATTCTCAAAATATTTTTTTGGGTTTTTTTGAGACATATTGTTCTAGCTCTGTTGCCCAGGCTAGAGTGCTATGGGGGTCAGCCTAGCTCACGGGAACCTCAAACTCCTGGGCTCAAGCGATCCTCCTGCCTCAGCCTCCTAAGTAACTGGGACTCCAGGCGCGTATCATCATGCCCGGCTTATTTTTTCTATTTTTAGTAGAGACAGGGTCTCGCTCTTGCTCAGGCTGGTCTCCAACTCCTGATCTCAAGAGATCTCAAGCAATCCTCCCACCTCAGCCTCTCAGAGTGCTAGGATTACAGGCATGAGCCACCGTGCCCAGCCTCTCAAAATATTTTTCAGGCAATACTACCATGCCCCTGTAAAAAACTTTTTAATGGGGAAAAATTGTTAAATGGGCAACAAAATAATGTGGTAAACACAACCTTTTTGCACTGTTTGCCATACCTGAAACAATCCTTTCTACTCAGCTCCTCAATCCCTCCCAGAACTTTACACTCCCATCCTCCAATAAATAACAGAAAAGAAGTAGAGGGGAAAAGGAAAGAGAAAGAGATATTTGTTATTTACACATTCAAATGAGGCCCATAACACAACAAATTCTTCTTCAGCACGATCCTGAATTTTGTGTGTCATGCAGCTCATGTAAAGGACTGATTCCCCTAGCTAATGCATAAGCCAAAATACACACCCTTCGTCCAGTCTATCTCAACATGGCTTTGTTATTATCAACTTTCATCCAATTTAACCTTCAATAGAGCCTTAATGTCTTCCAAGAAAATCTGAAGTCTCACTCAAACACTTAACAAAGTTTGGGTGTGGTGGCTCACGCCTATAATCCTAGCACTCTGGGAGGCTAAGCTGAGAGTATCACTTGAGGCCAGAAGTTCAAGACCAGCCTAAGCAAGAGCAAGACCTCATCTTACTAAAAATAGAAAAACTTAGCAGGCATGGTGGTGCACGCTGCAGTGCCGGTTACTCCAGAAGCCGAGGCAGGGGGATTGCTCGAGTCCAGGAGTTTGAGGTTGCAATGAGCTATCATGACACCACTGTACTCTAGCCAGAACAAAAGAGTGAGACTCTGTCTCAAAAAACGGGGGGAAAAAAAACAACAAAACTTCAATCTTGATATATTATTTCTTTCTGGCTTTATTTTTCATACTCCCATAATCATACACTACCTACAGCAAAAACAGATCACCAGCTTTTTCCCAAATAAGCAACAGGATGCCTTCGCTATTTGTACCACTTACCAAAATCTCATCCATCCTTAAAAGCTTAAATGCCTCCTCCTACGTTAAACATTCCCCATTTAATCACCTATAGTACTCTTCTGAGGCAAGTGCTCTAACTCTTCCAGTTAATGATAATTTTGTTTAATCACCCTAGAACCTGTGACTTTACTTCCCTCAGACCTCTCAGACTCTGCCTTCTAATCATAGTCCTTTGTACAGAGACTTTCTCATATATTTTTGTATCCTCCACTGCAGCTGATATAGTGCCTTATGACTAATAAGCTCTCAAATAAGGAAGAAAGTAGTCAGGTGAAGACGATTATGAAAGGTTTCTTAAGAAGTGACTCAATTTTGAAGAAGGTAAGGGAACTAGATTAACAGAAAGAACAGTATTATACATGATACGTGCAGTTAGGCACAGGGAAAGAAATGAAAAATTTATGCAGTAAATACTAGCAAATAAGTAATAACCATCATCAGGAATAATCTAGCAAGGAAATATATGCCATCAAAAAATAACATTAATATAAATTTTTTAGAATCTCCCACAAATGAGTTTATATACACAGTCAAGTTGCTTGAAGAAAAAATCAATGAGGGCGAAAAATATTAAGTTTTCACAGGATCTGACGTTTTTGGTCTTTATTAACTCATCCCTTCATAAAGAAGGTAAGATTAGAAATACTTATTTTAAGTAAAGATCCTTCATGATTAGCTTGATACAACCATAAGCAAAAGGAGGTCAGGATCTAATAATAAACATGACTACAAGGGTTAGGCCTCATTTTCTAGACTATCTAGAATAGTACTGTCCAGGAGAATTTTCTATATTTTCTATGATATGAAAATATTCTGTATCTGCACTGTTTATATAGTATCCACCAGGCACATGGGGCTATTACGCCTTGAAATATGGCTAGTAGGATTAAAAAGTGATTTTTAAATTTTAGTTAATTTAAATTTAAATAATCACATGTGGCTGGCAGTTACCATACTGGACAATGAGAACCACAGAGAAAAGCAGCAGCAGACAAAGGGAGACCATGGGACAGGGGAGGCTTTCCCCACAATGTTAACCACCATGTCATTACAAATGGGTCTCTCAGGTTCCAGTTTTCATTCTACCATTAATTTTTTTCATCACGAAAAAGCAGGTTAACTTCCTTGGGGTTCATTCAGTCCCTTCTTCTACAAATGGAAGGTGTTGAATTAAACCATAAAGGTTCTTTCTGATTTGAAAGTCTGAATCTGTACCTAAACCATAAAAGTTAACTCTTCTTTACTTCATACCATACACCAATTCTTACAGTGACACTATCATTTTAAAAGAGGATCATGAACCCAGTACTCAGAAACATTTAGCAAGTAAAGTTTATTACCATCTGACTGCCTCTCCATGGTGTGAAGTATTGACTGCATAAAATCATTTTGTTTGTCTGAGCCCAACAACAGAGAATCCATGGCTTGCTCCTCAAGAATGGTCAGCAACATGCAAATACCTGTAAGATCATTTAAAATTTTCTTGAATTAATGAAATAACACCATTATAATGGTTTGTCTGGTTCAGCTGGCAAAAGAAATATAAGGCAGGAAGATGAAGCAAAACAGTATCTGGTTCCTCAAACATTTAAGTCTGAGTTATTCATATACAACTGCTCCCACGTAACAGAATTTTAGACTGACTCAAGTGTAAAAGGGGAAAATGGTACTAGCTTGGTTAGAAAACGATTTCTAAGATAACTACCACATAACTTGTATTTCACCAATCTAAGATGCCTTCAATTTTAAGATGTATCGTATCTCATATGCCATTAAAATAGGAAAAAAATCCACTGCCAATTATGACACATGACCTTAAGACTTGGAATCAATGAAATAGGGTATAACTATTTTGAGTCAGCACAGAACTTGTAAACAATGCTAGTAGGTCTTTCTCCACTTGTGGAGACTGACCTATTCCTCTCTCTTTGGAATGTATTTTCACTTTGTATAGCTTCCTTCTTCACTTGCATTTTGTATAGTTTCTTTCTTTTCTGTAATAAAAGCTGTTTATGTGTGTGGGGACCCCAAAACAACGCTAGCAATTCTTTCTACCAGGCAATATCTTACACTGGAAAAGAGGTTTTAACAATCAGACCCCTATCAAAGTCAACTACTGCACTAATATTTTGTTAATCTCATGTTGCTTTAAATGAAAGATTCATTTGCCAGTGCTTGAAAATGTACCTCTTATAGGAACAATACTCACCTAACCAATAGTTTTTGTAGTTGGTAGTATCATACATGTGTGAGGGCAGAAGAATCAGTTTACCCTTCTCAAGGACAGAAGACGTATAAATGTCTGGACTTTCTAAAAGCCCCAACTCGATGACTTTAAAAAGGCAAGTTAAAACATCTTGTAAGTCATAATAATCATCTCTGTCCACTTTTCCCAAGTTTCTTGCAGTCAGGATAGCCCAGCGTCGAACCTAAATGCGTAACACGATTACTTCATTCAATAAATAATGGTCTACATAAAAAACATGAATAAGAAAATAGGATTCTGTATAGAGTTGAAAAAACATGTAAAGAATACATGAAAAAGATACTAATTAAGCAATGTATGGATCTCATTGGATCCTGATTTGAACAAGCTAACCCAATAAACGATTTATGAGACAATCATTTCCATTCAAACACTGACCAGAAACATGATGTTAAGGAATTATTATTTTAGGTGGAATAATGAAATTTTTTAAAAAGTCCTTATCTTTTAGAAACATATACTGAAATATTTTATGGATGAAATACACTGATGTCTGAGATTTGCTTTAAACTAATCCAAATGGGAGAAGGTAGACCATGTAATAATTGATCAAGCTAACTGATGGATATATGGGGGGTTCATTATACCATTCTCTCTACTTTGATATGTTTATAATTTTCCATAATAGAATGTTTAAAAAAGGAATGAAAACATGAAAGAAGAATCACAAAAGAAATGAAAGGTCATTCTAAATGGCAGAATAGCATAGGGAAGTGATTTTGAATTTCTTGGGGGCTATAAATTAAGTTTAGTGATCACAACCAGTCTTAATAAAACTAAATAAAATAGATGAGAAAAATATCAGAGTACATCCTTCATAGTAAAAGTTAAGTACTGTTTTATGAAATGCTTTATGTTATAAATGCATATTTATGTGTGTACTCAATGAAAACATTTTTTACTATAGGTTAATAGTTGGCTGTCTGTGCACAAAAATGCAACTGATTTTTATAAGTACATGTTACATCTACTCATCTTAAGCCCCTACTTCTCATAACTTGTAGATTCTTCAACATTTTTTATGTAAATAACCTTAATACTACTACAAATAATGGCCTTTCTTCATTTCAAATCCTTATGCCTCTAATTTCATTTTCTAATTTCTTTACTGGATTGACCATAGGTTATAGTCAAAAAAGTTTGAAAAACATAGACCTAATGGATAAAAGCATGAGTTCTATACCAACACAAGTAGTGATTATAAACCACTGGAAAAAATACACAGGAATCCATGAGTCCATACTGATAATAAATAAATGAACGGGGAGGAGAAAAGGCTCTTGACTACAGTACAATCAATGTCAAGTACCGACTGGTAAATAAGGGAGAATGCTAAAGTTGGAAAATTACCATTTTGTAATCACAGAAAAACTGGTTCAGGCAAGAAACATTAATGAATGCTAAATTTAGGGGAAATTTTGGTGAGAAGCAGGGTATTTACATGGTCTTGAAATATCTGAATAGAAATCACTTAGTGGAGAAACTGGACAACAGCTTGACTAACCAAAATTAACATCACCATGAGAGGCAAAGGACATGGTGTGCCTCTCTACACAGGACAAGCTGAGAAGGACGTAACATCACTTACATAGTACTCCAGCTGGGAATGCATAACCTGAACCTACCCATGACGAAACATCAGACAAACCCAAAATGAGAATCACTCCATTGTTTAAGAGGCAGAGGCAGGAATGACTATATTCTTCAGAAATGTAATTGTCATAAAAGACAAAGAAATGTTACAGATTAAAGGGGACTATGACATGACAACTAAATGCAAGACCTTTTACCAGCAACAAGATCCATGACCTCTCCAATACTAGTATTCTCAATCACAGGGTAAAAAATGTTGTTATCACTGTCATCTTATCATTTCCCTGATCATTAACTACAAAACATTCCTTCATATATTTATTATCCATAGGTATATCTGCTTCTGGGACATGCCATTTCAGGTCTTTTTCCATTTTTCTTTTGTGGTTAGTATTACAATTATCTTCTCCCAATTTTTAACTTGTACTTTCACTTTCTTTATGGCGTCTTTTGATAAACTGAAGTTCTTAATTTTAATATAGTCAAGTTTATCAACTTTCCTTTGATAACAAATGCTTTTCTTTTCTATGCAATCTTTCCTTGCCCTTAGATCTTAATGATACCTACATTTTCTGCCACGAGTTTTGACAATTTAACCTATCTAGAGTTTTTTAGATAGGTTTTATCATTACAAATGATAATGAAGTAGGGATACAATTTCTTTTCTTTCCATATAGATACCTTTCTTATCATCTCCATTTCCAGTCCCTCATTTCCCCACTGGTCATATACACCTCTATCAAATAGCAAAAATCCAAATATGAGTGGGTCTACTATTTGAGCTTTCTGCTTCATTCCATTGGCCAATCTGTCCACATGCCAATACATTTTCTTAATTACTAAAGCTTCAGAGTAAGTCCTGCTTATCAGTCAGTCTCCCTTTTCTACCCTTCCTCAGAAATGTCCTGGCTCCCTCTTTCATAGACATTTTTTAGAACCATGTTAATGTTATGCTGAAAACCATATTGGAATTTATCAGAAATGTTCTGAAACTAGAGATCAGTTTGGAGTAGACTGACATCTGTTATTAAGCTGTCCTATAGAAAGTATCTATCTTCATTTATTTACATCCTCTTTCATATGTTCAATTACATTTTATGATTTTCCCAGAGAGATCTTATTATCTCTGTTAGATTTATGGCTTGGTGTTTAATATTTTCTCAATCTACTATAAATGGAAATTTCACTTTAATTGTTGGCTGTCTGTGTACAGAAATGCAAATGATTTTTATAAATACATCTTATCTCTAGTCGTATTAAGCTCTTACTTTTCATAACTTGTAGATTCTTCAAGGTTTTCTATATAAATGACCTTAATACTGCAAATAATGGCCTTTCTTCATTTCAAATCCTTATGCCTCCTAATTTCATTTTCTAATTTCTTTACTGGATTGACCAAAACCCCGAATTCAAACTTTACAGAAGTGGTGAAACTGAGCACCTTTGTCTTACTCTGGATTTTAAAGGGAACATTTCATTAAAAGTCATTTTGGATAATGTTTTCTCTAGGTTTTTTACAGATACTATTCATAAGATTGTGGAACTGCCTTCTATTTCTAACTCACTAAGAATTTTTAATCATGCATATGTTCAATTTTATCAAATGGGGTTTTTTTTTGCATCTATTCAGACAATCATTGGTTTCTTGCTTCCATCTGTTAATGTGGTGAAATTATATTTCTGAATTTTCTAATATTTTGTTTAGGATTTCTACGTTTAGGATTTTTTATATTCATGACTGTAATTTACTTTTCTTTTAATGTGTTAGTCATTTTGTTACAGTGTAACACTGGCTTCATAGAATAAATTTCCAAGAACTTCTTTTCTGGAAGGAGATGCATAAAATTAGGATAATATATTCCTGGAAAGTGGAACTCCTATAAAACCATCTGAGCCTGATGTTTTTGTTGTGGGAAGACTTACCAATGGTTCCTCAATGTCCTTAATAGTTATAATATGCAAGCAGTTATATTTTTCTGGAATTTGTCTATTTAATCTAAATTTTCCAAGGTCAGATGGGATCAGGCGTGTTCAGGGCGGCACGGCTGTAGACTATTTAATCTAAATTTTCAAAACTGCTGGCATACACTTGTTCGTAACATTCTATTGTCCAGATAATCTCCATTTAATTTATAGCATCTCCTCCTTTTCATTCATGTATTTCTTCTTCCCTTGATCATTCTTACCTGAACTATATATTTTGTTCATTTTTTCCAAGAACCAACTTTTAGGTTTGTGTATTGTCTCTATTTTATGCAAATTTTGCTCCAATGAGTTCCACTCACTTTTTATCTCCTTCCACTTTCTTTGGTTTTATTCCATTGTTCTCTAGCTTCTTTTTTTTTTTTTTCTTCCAGATTAGGTTTATCTTAATACCTTACTGGTTGTTAAACTTATTTACAGACTGAGTGAATAACAGTTACATACAAGGTGGGCATTTAAGGAACATAATACTTTACAATACTTTCTCATGCATTAACAATCTCATGTGGTTCTCACAGCAACCCTATGACATAGCTTCTTATTCTCAAATTAAAGATGAAGAAAGTAAGTCTCAGGGACATGAAGATTCGCTCAAGATCCTTTGGATAGTAAAGTAAAGCAGTTGTGGGTTTGACAAGAAGAGAGACGAAATGACTATTGTTTTATTACTATACGTAAAAAGAATTTTTAATGTTTAAACATCTCCTATCTAGTTACTATGCCATACTTTGCTTGTAAAAACACATTATCTCACAGTAAGATATTTATTGTTTTTCCTTTATTCTGTATCTATCTATATACACACACACACACACACACACACACACACACATACACACACACACACACACACACACACACACACATACACACACACACACACGGAATGAAACAGAAATAATCTGTTGTTCCTGAGTTTGATTGTGGGAGAATAAGATAGGTCATATTTATAACACTGATTTCAGGAACATGTAAATCCTGTATTTTAATTTCCATATGCCTTACACTAAAATGAATACACAAATATGTTTCTTTATCAATCTCCATATCAGAAAAAGGGAAAGGAAGTGTTTGGCTTAGAAAAGAATGACCATTAGTGCCTTAATCATGTCAGTATTTCTAGTATTACAGAATTAGATTTATTTTTTGCTATTTATAGTAAGTTGTATCTTTGAAGTGTTTTTTTCTAAACATTCAGTACATCAAATACCAGTTGCTGCAGACATTTGCTTCCAAGGGAAAAATAATCCAAGTCAAATCCCGGTGAGATGAAATAATGCATAGTATTGGTCTTATTAAAACCAGGGCTGGCCAGGTAAACTTCTGACATTCTTCACGTTGCAATTTCTAAGCTCAATAGAAGAATCTTTGTCAATCAACATTTCATTCATCCTGAGAGGTGGCCTTGGCATAACTCAGAGGTAGATTCAGCCCAACAACTGGCCCTACAATGCTCAGCCATGATGTGATGTAGTTGACGTTCCTATTGATTTTCTGAAAATTCTTTAATACAGGAGTCATGAATTCATTCGTCTTGCAGGGATGAAGCACAAAAAAGGGCTGCCCAAGTACTGGATGTTCCTGCTGGGTGACAGTGTCCCATGGTCCCTGTAGCAGCCGCGTCTTATAGCATTCATGGACTCCTTCCCGTATGTCCATCAGAGTTAGAGGTCTCCCATCTAAAAAGCTTGCCCTAAAGTAAAGTACAGGCACTTGGTAGCTGCAGGAATATAAGACATGATACTCATATTTAATCACTTCGGACGCCGCTGCAGTCTCAGTCACTTCGAAATCATCTGAGGGTAGCTCTAAAGCCTCCTCCAAGGGAAGACATGTTTGTCCGTGGCCAGATGTTCCTGGATGTGACACCACCGTCCCATTTTTAATTTTAAAGTGTGTTTTGCACATATAGCCATCAGAACAGTCCTTTGACATTCTCCATTCCCAACCATCACCTATCTGCTGCGAATATTTAACGAATTCTGCACAATATTTCTGGAATGTTTTTTCTCCAAAGACCTCATCTTCTTCCATGTTAAATAAGCCACAGATGACGACCTGATCCATTGTCGCAGCAGGGCAAGCAAAAGGAAGGGCAAAGAGAGAGAGCTGTTCTCTAGCTTTTTAAGAGGAATAATCAGCTCATTAATTTTCAGGCTTTCTTCTTTTCCAATAATCACTTAAAGATATAAATTTCCCTCAAAGCACCTCTTTTGCTACAGCCTACAAGTTTTTATAAGTAGCATTTTCATTATAATTCAGTTGTATTTTTTAATTTTATGATTTCTTTCTTAGGATGTATTAATTTCCACATGGGGAAACTTATTTAACTTTTTATTAACGTCTATCTACATTGTGCTATGCTCAAAGATCATAGTATGTATGATACCAAGTCCCTGAAATGCGTTGAAGTTTTCCCTTAAGGTCTAGTATATTTTCATTTTTGTAATGTTTACTGTATATTTGAAAAACTGGTTAGATCATACATGATCCATCAGATCAAGCTTACAAACTGTCTTACACAGATACCTGATATTCTTCCTGGATTTTGCCTACTGACATCAATAATGAAGAGGATATACTGAGATTCCTTACAACCATAATGAATTTATCTATTTCTCCTCGTAGTTCTATCAATAACTGCAACATCTACTTTGAAGTGATTTTAACTAGCCTATTTCTTAATCTTATCCATCCCTGTCCTAATGCCTATTTTACTTGATAATACTACAGCTTCGATAATGCTTTTTTAGGTATTTGCCTAGTAGTTCTTTTTCCATCCCTTACGTATCAACTATTACTGTGCCCTTATGTTTTAGATGTATCTCACAGAATCTATCTAGATTTTATTTCTTCTGTAAGCTAATCCAATCTTTAACTAATTCAGCCAATTTACATTAAATATTGATATCCTTAAGTCTCTTTATTATACATGAACCTTTTTCTTTTAAAACATTTCTTGCTTTTTAAAATAATTCATGGCCGGGCGCGGTGGCTCACGCCTGTAATCCTAGCATTCTGGGAGGCCGAGG